GTGCCTCTGAATTAAAGCCCATCAAAACCACGGATCTCTACATGGTGGATTTTTTTAATTTATTTATTTATTTATTGTGTAATCTACAGAACAAGTTCCAATAATCGATTACAAAAATTACAAACTAAATAAACCGTTCCAAACCCTATGGTAAATCAAAAAAAAAAAATATATATATATATAAAATAAAGATATAATAAAAGGAACTCCTTTGAACATTGCACAAAATATTTCCGTTAAACCACTTTTTGTTTTATATCACACTATAACAGCAGCAAGTAACCCTAAAATTAGAATCGCATAGAACCTAATAGTTTCTTTTTTCAAATAAAATTAATTTATCTTCCACATGCTTTCTAAATGTTTTCAGGTTTTTTATACTAAAATAGTCTATATCCAGTGCATTTCCGAGGAAACACATATTATATAATGGAGAACTTAAACCTAAGTTGGTTCGAGGTTTTGGATAAACAAAGATGTTTCTTTTTCGTATGTTTAAATAAGGATTACAATTGAAATTTATTTTTGAGAGTAATTCTGGGTTGTCTATTTTATTACACAATAGTTTGTAAAGAAATAAAACTGTTGCAACCTTCCGTCTAAATTCTAGAGAGTTTAAGTGAAATTCAGCAAGAGAGGCTTTATAGCTAAGATTATAAATGTATTCGCCATGTTTCTTATAATATAAAAATCTCAAAAAGAATTTTTGGACTTTTTCTATTGCATTTGTATAAATTATATAATATGGTGACCATATTATTCCCGCATACTCTAATATGCTCCGAACAAAAGAATTATAAAGCATCTCTAGTGTCAATATTTTAGTAAATCTAAAAGAATTTCTTAGATATTATAAATCCTAGCATTCTGTAAGCTTTATTCACAATATTGGTCGTATGTTTTTCAAAGCTTAATTTTTCATCAATGGTTACCCCTAGGTCTTTGCATTCTGTTTTTTTATTTAAACTTTTATTATTTATTTTGTATTGAAAGATTATTTTTTTATTTTTTCTTGTTATTGACATGCTATAACATTTTTCGATGTTGAATGAGAGACGATTTTTCAGGGACCATTCATAAACTCTGTCAAGATCACTTTGTAATAAAATAGCATCCTGTTCATTTTCAATTTCCTTATATATTTTAAAATCATCAGCGAACAAGGCACACTGGGAGTCTTGAACAATTCCCGGCAAATCGTCTATCAACAATAAAAAGAGAAGTGGACCAAGATTAGATCCCTGGGGTATACCAGATTTTGTATCAAACTCCCTGGATTCCCCGCCCTTATAAACAACATATTGTTTTCTATCTGATAGATAGGATGCAGAAAGTCTCAAAAGTCCGTCCGACAGTCCAAAAGAGTGCAATTTTTCCAACAAGACATCATGATCCACCTTATCGAAGGCCTTACTAAAATCTGTGAATATGACGTCTAACTGTCTATTATTCTCAATAACTTGACTTGCCTCTTGCACAAAACACATGAGATTAGTTACTGTTGACCTCTTAGGCAAAAACCCGTGTTGCTTTTCATTTAGACAAGGGTTAACATGATTTAAAATTTTTTCATAAATAATGGACTCAAAAATCTTGCTAGGTACACAAATAAGTGCAACTGGCCTGTAGTTCTGTATATTTCCTTTTTCACCACTTTTGAAAATCGGACACACTTTCGAACGTTTCCAAAACGTAGGGTACGTATTTGTTTCCAAAATTAAATTATAAATAATTTTCAAAGGTTGGATGAGAGACTGTACGCATCCTTTAAATATATAGGGAGGAATCAAATCCGGGCCCAAGGACTTTTTCGGCTTGAGTTTTTTTACGGCCTTTAATATGTCTTCATCGTGTATCACGCGAATATCTAAGCATGAGTTGGTTAATATTTGTCCAGAAAAATTATTTGTGTCATATTTTGCTTTTTCTTCGTTATATACACTTAAAAAGTTATGTGCAAAAGCTTCGGCTATGTTTTGGTAATTGGTAATTTTTTCCTCCCCATATACCATGGCTTCAGCAGAGGAATCAAAGTTAGTTTTATTTTTTGAGACATACGACCAGAAATTCTGAGAATTATTGGAAATGCTATTTTCAATTTGTTGCAGATACACCCCATGTGCATTTTTAATATCTTGCTTGGTTTTCGCACGCAAATAAATAAAATTTTGTCGATCATGAATGTTGTTGGTTTTTTTGTATTTTTTCCTATATTCATCTTTTTTTTTCAAATTTTTTATTATATCTCCTGTGAACCATGGTGGGTAGAATCGTTTAGATTCTTTGGCTACAGGTACACATTCATTTAAAACTTTGTAAAAAATTTCATAAAACTTATCTACAACAATATTTACATCTTTTATATTTTTAAGTTCGTCCCAACAAACCTCTCCTAGCAAATAGTACATTTTCAAAAAGTCGGCTTTTTTAAAATTAGGTTTAGAATTAAATGTTTTATTTGGTTGAAAGTTTTCTTTAGTAACCTCCAATGAAAAAAAAAGTGACGGATGATGACCATTTTCTTCAACCAAAGGCATATCACATTTTTCAAGAAAAATTTCATGGTTGCTTATAACTAGATCAAGATATCTATGTAGACTATTAGGTACAAGATTATACTGTTTTGCATTTAATATGTTTATATGGCTTAAATATCTTTGTTCAATGTTGCTTAATCTATCTTTTTGTTCAATATTAATGACACCAGGAATATTAAAGTCTCCTGCTGAAATAAATATGTCACTTGTACCTAGTAGCCTGTTTTCAATATTATCAAAAATATCCTCATAGGTATTAAGGTTCATACTATCTGGTACGTATAACGAAGTAATATATATGTTATGACCAAAAAAGTTAATTTTTACCCATACATCCTCAACATTAACATTCCTACAATGATATATCATTTCCTCACATGGATATTCCCTTCTTACCGCTATTAATGTACCTCCACCTCTTTTTTTGTTTGTATTTTCAAAGTTTCTATCCCTCCTATATACCATGTAGTTATCACTAAAAAGTTCCCCATCAAATACACTAGATGATAGCCAAGATTCTGTTAATATTATAACATCATAACAGGCAGCACTTAAACTCAATAAAAACTCGTTAATTTTAGAATTCAGTCCTTGCACATTTTGATAATATAAGTTTAATTTTTTATGGTTAGATTTAATGGACATCGTTCAAATTTGATTCAGTCTTTATCAAAAACACATTTGAGTTTTCGCTCTGCCTCATAAAAATGTTACCATTTTTTACCCACAAAAATCTTACGTTATTCGTTTTCTTATATTCTCTGCACTTGGCAAATAAGACTTTATTTTGTCCAGTTAGTGCTTCATTTATATATATTGGAATATTGGCTTCAGCTCCCTTAATCTCCGGAAAAACATCTGATCCCTTTAGGGCCTGTTTCATTTTTCTTGCTTTCAGAAACTCATCTTTTTTCAACCGTGATACAAACCCTAAGAATAGTGTTTTTGGTTCATTTTTCCTATTTTTTCTCTCTGCGCGGTAGCAGAAGTCGATTTGACCTTGTTCGACTGTTACATTCAACGATCTGCATAATGACGTAACTGTACGAAGTATGTTTTCCTCTTTAAATTCGGGTACCCCCTCAATTTCAACCATATTAAGTTTGGATTTTTGCTCTTGAAAATGAAGGACTGACTTCAGTTCCTGATTTTCTTTTTTTAGAGAGGCACATTCTGTTTCTAATTGGTCTATTTTGTCCATGCATGTCTGAATTTGATCGGCTTGCGCTTTTATCAATCCGTTGGTTTCATCAATTTTATCGTGGCAGCTATTGAGCGAAGTTTCTATATTGCATATTTTTTCAGATACGTCTTTGATAAGCTTCATGAGGTCAGCTATTGAAGGGTTGCATTCTTTGCAGATCCAGTCCTCAACCCTTACACAAATTTTTTTTGCACAGTCTATATGGGATGTTACAGTACACGTATGCGTTTTGCATTTGATTTCTTTACGTTGGCTAACAATTTTTGTATTACATAAATTGCAAGGGTTCATCCTGGAGCTATTTTTTATCTAAAATTAAAATCAAATCAGCTGCTTTGGAGGTGAGAAAAACAAACCGCACAAAAAACACTCGATTCGGAATCCCATCAGTGTTTACCTTGAAATTTATTTTAGTTTTTTATATATGTAGGTATTGAAAATTTGACTATTTTAGGCAATCAAAATGTAATTTTACTGCGCTTAATAATGTGTCCAGACAGTTGCCTTTGAAATATGATGCACTTGGGTCGTTTATGCACACATTCACAAAAAATCGGAAGCATATTCGATCAATAAACACTGTTTTTTTCTCTTTTTCACGGAGCTCTAAAATTACACGTCCGAACGGTTTAAAATCACGCTTTTTAGTTTTTTTTCCACCCACCGTGGCGTTTCAGAACTGACATATCGGCACTGGTATTTGCAAGAAGCGTAGCAGAGCTTCTTCTGAAACAGTGACCCGTGTATGCTTCACTATTTGGCAATCCCAGATACTTAGCAATCATGGAGGGTATTTTTCCGATCGTATGCACCCCGACAACTTGTGCAGTGCACTTTCCATTTTCATATCTCAAAAATACACGACGACTATTAATATTTTTTGGTCGAAGGGCTGCATATTTGAGGTAAATTTTTATAAAATTCAAATTAGTGATTGTGAAAACGCGCTTCTGGTTAGTCCTAGTATCAGGAACTGTTACTATTAATACGGCATCTTTCTCCTGAATGTCATCTATCATCATTTTAACTACTTCATCTCGCCGCAATGCTCCTGATATTCCCATAATCATAACTACCTGAAACAATAATTGTGATAAATAAACCAACTAATCGAAAGCTTACTTTTTTAACAATTTACCTTCAACAATAAATAGTTTTCATCACAAGCTTCTTTCATGAACAAATCAATTTTTGTTGCTTGATAACCTACAGACTTTTTTTTCAGGAAAGGTACCACTTTTGAAAACTTCCTCACATCTATCCCTTCTCGTACGTTGAGCATACACTTTAACATGGAATAAATGCTCCATAAACTTGAACTCTTCAAAACTTTCGATTTCTGCATTAAATAAGCCAACAATATATTTTCAGACACCATTTTGACGTTTTGTTTGTCACACCAATTTTTGAACTCGAAGTAACAATTTTCATATTGCCACTTAGATTTTTCAGGTATCAACTCAGAAATAGCTGATTGAACTACACTTTTTAGCTCTGGAGGAGTGCAAGAAGGTGAAATATCTGTATCAGTGCTGGACATTTTCACGATTTTTTGAGAACCGTCAAATTTTTTTGTTTTATTGTTTACATGCAAAATATGATATCCATAGAAACGCTGTGCCACCATAGCCACCAGGTTATATTATATCAAACTGGTAGTTAGTTCCACATGCTTGTTGAAAGAAGTAAATTTTTTCTGTAATTTCACATAATTTTCATGGTTGCACAAAAAATAGTGTGTATACCATGACCGCGAAACTTTTTAGCGTCCTCGAGATTATCTTGCCTCGGCCGCAAGCGGCCTCGGCGATAACTTTTCTCTTCATACGCTAAAAAGGCACTTCGCGGCCTTGGTATACAAATGACTATTAGCGGCTTTTTCAAATAAATATGAGTCTTTTTTCAAAAACAAACAAAAAAACGATATATTAATTTCCGCACGCTCGTAGAAAAAAATGTACCTAACACGAGCGTAAAGTATCTTTTCCGCAATTACGGCTTCCACAAACGCCATTGTGTGCGGAAAAGTATAAATTTCCGCACTTGTTAGGTGAATAACTATTTACAGAGTACTATTGATGGGTACTATCATCTGTGAAAAAATCAGCTTGATTGCAAAAACTTCTCCTAAAGACCATTTTTTCAGCTAACTGTCCTGACCTATTAGTCTTGCCTATTTTAATCATAATTTTATCGGTGTAATGTTCTAGGAAGCTTAAAACTTCAGAAAAAGGTTGTGCAAATTGAATTGTCTGATTTGCATAAACAACAATCTATATTTGCAACATCTTAAGGAGGGAAGAGTTATATTAACCAATTGCCACATTAATTAATATTCAATTATCCATTTTTTATATGCTTTAATGAGCTTACCCCTCTCCTTTATGACTTTTTAAATACATTGTTGTAAAGTAAACATCAAGTTGCTATATCGGCATTAAATTCTTATTTAAGCCAGCGCAGTCCCATAAGGAATGCTAATTTGTTTTCAAGCTTTTGCTGTAGCACTTTGATCCACATATTTTTTTTTGTCACCCCTGTATTTTAGTTGATAAAATAAATGTTTTTTAAAATAAAAGTTTCTGAATCGAAAATATAATTAATACATAGTTAATAAATAAATAATTATAAATAAAAAACATACATAATATAAATTTTCAGAACTAATTTAAAGCGTTATTATGTAAATTTATTAATTAATTTATTAGGTAATTGGCTAGGCATCATACTGCATTAAACAAAATAGGCTGCCAGTTGAGCCATTTTGTCTTTTGGTTTGCCCCTGCCAAGTCCTCCTCTGCCGCCTCTTCCTCCTGTTCCTCGGCCCCCTCTTGCGCCTGCTGCCTTTCCACCCCTAAATTAAAATAAACAAGTTAATCAAGTGAATTCAAATGATAAAGATCACACTAACCTAAACGGCCTTGGTGGTCTACTAATAACTGCAACTTTAGGCTTGTCCACCAATTTGGCAAACTCAGGGCTGCAAAAAATGCAACCCTTCATTTCAGTAACTTGATTGGGCAATTTAGATTTTTCCGCTTTGTACTCTACATCTACCAATTGGGCACCACAATCGCAATTGTCATCAAGAATCGTGATTTTCTGAGCGTCGTCCAAAAGATTTATTATTGTATCACATCTAGAATTTTTAATTGTATGCTGTGCCGGTTTTTACGTGAATAAGCTTACCTATTACAACCCAATTTCCATTTGGGCCCTGAAGATGGATCAAGAACCAGAACGCCATATTCACATTCAGCACAGTTAATTACGCCATTGGAATTAAGACTGTAGGCACATGTTGGATGAGTACAAGAACTACAGCCGTTGCCTTTGCGCATATCTCTAGTTAAATAAACACAATTTTAATAGGTTGGAACTATATATATTTTCCAATTGTTACGTACTTAAATGGTGGATTATTGTAGCAATAAGGACAAAAAACAAAACTTTTGCCCTTATTTCCAGTGGTCCAACACAACAATTCAAAGTCGTCCAAGGGACATTTTAGTTCTTTAAATATTTTAATTGTGCCGTTTTGAGGTATACTGTATGTTTCGTCGCACTGAGGACAATGTAATCTGGCAGGTTTGGCTTGGATGTATTTCAAATATCTTCTGCATTTTCCACATCTAGAATATAATGAACTAAAAAAAATGCTCGTTAATTTTTGTGGAATCCTTACCTTGAATGTGCTTTTCCAGAAGCACTTAGAGGCGAGAAAGATACCTCAAAAAGCTGATCCATACCGTCGATGTTTTGCACAAAATACTGAAACTTTAATTTGAAAATGTTCATGGTGTGTTTTAATACTGCATTAAAATTGGCCTTTCCCTGAGCTATAAGATTCAATTGCTCTTCTACTGCTGAGCGCATTGTGGGGAGAACTAGTTCGGCATCAATCTAGAACCAAATTAGTGTAACGGGTATTGTTATTATGTCAAATTTAAAATATCAAATGTAAAAATGAAAGCTAGAGTGGAATAACTCCTGTTATTTTAAAAAGAGACGTTACTGATCATTATCCCATTTTGTTGAACATTAAAACTACAAATGACAAAAAAATGAACTGTAACGCAAAATATTAATTTCCAACTACCAATCGCCCTATCAAGCACAATTGGTAAACTATGTAGTTGAAAAGTACATTAAACTTTGACTCCAATCATTTTTCGAAAAAAGGAACCAGCTTTCACAAAAAAAGTTTGTATGCTTACAAAAGAAACTCCAGTATCGGAAATCCTTTGGCAAGGGTTACTGAGATGATTTTTGAACGTCAAATGATGGAAAAAGAGTTGTGGGTTAGTTGAATCATATTCAAAGAGTCAAAATTGGAAACATCATAAGTGAGCCTCTTGCAGTGTGTGGTGTGCCTTGGGTGTGCCGCAGGAAACGGTCTTTGGCCCAATATTATTTAGTGTCTATATTAACGATGTTCTTTCGGTTCTTGATGGGAAGAAGACAGTGTTTTGATTTGCAGACGATACAGTAATAATAGTTCAAGATCAAATATGGAATCTTGCCATAAAAAACGCTGAAAATGCTGACCCAAAAATAACATGTTGGCTCGATCAGAGCTTCTTGTCATTGAACATCGGGAAAACAAAATTTTTCACATTTGCCCATTTTCCAAGGACCCTACCAACACCAACAAAAAATATTCTCATTACTTTTTCATGAAAGTAAATTGTTATCTGTAGAACAATTATACAGGGCTTTCATTTCGAAACTTGTCACCCATGTTATCTGCGTAAAGAGGCATATTTGTGGAAATCGCCGAAACATGTCAACAAATCTATTAGTGGGGAAAATTTTTCACGTGAAACTGGGGTCGTATTTTCGAATATTCTCGCATACGAAATTTGATACGTTTTCGAATGCTTCCCATTTAATTTACATTGCTTTCAGTAAAATTTCGAGTACGAAGTGTACTCGAATAAATTCGAAAATACGACCCCTGGGCTTCCTTTCTTCAACCCTCTAACCCCCAGGGCTACCACCCCAAAATTTTCAAATGAGACAAGGGGTCGAGTGATAGATCATTTTAAAGGGCTGTTTAATCTGTACATTTTGTCGTCCTATTTTTTGAATTTGACCACACTGTTGTGGAATAACACTCATTTCAATGTTCAAAAATGCCTATTTATCCTTGATCACACCTGCTTGTTTACCTGTTGCTGTAATAAGAAGGTAGGTAAAGAAGCAGGTGTGTTTAAAGTTAAATAAGCATTTTTAAACATTGAAATGGGTGTTATTCTGCAACACTGAGGTCAAATTCAAAAAATAGGATGACAAAATGTACAGATTGAACCGCCCTTTAAAATGGTCTATCACTCGACCCCCTGTCTCATTTGAAAATGTTTGGGTGGTAGCCCTGGGGGTTAGAGGGTTGAAGGAAGGAACTCCAGTTCCACATAAAAACCCTTCACCCCAATAAATTTGTTGAAATGTTTCGGCGATTTCCACGAATATGCCTATTTACGCAGATAACGTGAGTGGCAAGTTTTGAAATGAAAGCCCTGTATACTAGGGCTGTAGTAAGATTTATGTTGTTAACACGTTAACCGCCATATGCATTAAATATGATTCACACGGCCTTGAGCTCAGGGGGCCGTGTGAGACATATATGATTCCAAAGCCTTTTTGTTTCTGAGGCCGGGTGTATAGCAGGTAATGCACGCGACCGTGGCCAGTATATTGGTGTATTTACATTCACTTCAAAGTCCAATTTGTCTTGAAATTAGGCAATCTCAATCACGTGATTTTCTAATGGCCGTTCGGGTCAAATATTGCGGTGACAAGCCGGTGACGTTTGACATTCATAAGGAGAGCATTTGTATTCTGGCCCTTGCTGCTTTCGAAGTGAATTTTATGTGTTTCTACGTATAGTTTGGCAAGTGGTAACTTGTTCGAGACGAAAGGGGGACGAAAAGTGGGGCGTAACCTAAGAATATTCACTGACACCTCAACTGACACCGCCTCATGCCAACCATGTCTTTGGGTTCAGTGGCACCGAAAACACCAAGGAAATAAACCAAAAAATTATTAGGAAAAAAATTCTTGAGTTTCACGAATAACCACGCCACTGGTGCTGTCGTTCAGGCTCTAACCAATAGAATCATGTCTCTGAATAATCACGCCTCTCCGCTTCCTTCATTTCGCAATGTTGCCGGATTTTTCCCTATTTCAAAATACTACACGGCCCATATTCAGGGCCGGATTTAGGCACAGGCAACCGAGGCAACCGCCTAGGGCGCCACGATTGGGGGCGCCAAATTGCAAACAAATTTATTTCGAGTGAACAATTTAATAAAAAAAATATTTTATGCCACAAGGATAATAGGGTCATAATGAAAGATCCAACAACATTGTCCAGTAAAAGTTAATTTACGTGTGTCACCACTGTCACCTGTCACCGTTCATCAAGGCACTTTCGATGATCTTTGTCTCAACAAGGTAGATTGAATGGACTATCGCTCTGAATTGGAAATATTATAACCTCGATTATAACCTTTGACCATTGTACACACTCGATGGTTTGATGGTTTATAACATGTTAGAATGATGTAGATTAAAGGTCTGTTCTCCTCACAGAAATCACGAACCAGTCAGGGCGTTTTTAATTGGCGCAAATCGCCAACAACCAGTTTTATGATTATTTTTAACCGAGTTTTTAACCAATGAAATTCCCTCTGGCCTCTAACTGGTTTGTGATTTCTGTGAGAACAGACCTACCAACGAACTCATCACTCATCTCTGACTTTGCAAGACGTAAAGCTAGACGGGTTCATTTTTAGTGTTGATAATTTAATTAGTTTTGAGAAATTATTTTTGTGTTTTAATTTGAAAAATACATACAGGGTCTCAATTTGAAAACTTTCAATGACTATCTCTCCCATGCACCCCAACCTCAAAATTTTGAATTGCACCATCCCTTTTGTGAAACCTAAAATTAAATATTTTTGAGTACTTATAGTATTCACCTGCACAAGAATTTTTCCAAAAAATATTTAATTTTAGGTATCACAAAGTGGTAATGCCATTTAAAATATCGGGGTTGGGGCGCATGGGGCCTAAAGGGTCATTGTTACGAAAATATGGTGGTTTTATAGTTGCCCCTACCTCTACCGGTACCTATAACATTTGCACTAAATTACGTTTTTCTAACTTTTTTACTTTCAGAGATATTCCATTTTAAGTTTTGGAATATTCACCCTGTATATATCTACAGTATAGATCTGTTCTCACAGACATCACATACCTATCAGCAGAGCGAATTTCGTTGGTTGTAAACTATCAGTTGCTGGCGATTTGCACCAATCAAAAACACTCCGACTGGTTTCTGATTTCTGTGAGAACAGACCTCATGTAATAAGTAAACATATGATAAACTTATTGGAAAAAATGAAGTTACTTTTTTTGTTTTATTCTCCTACTCTCTAAACGATAGCCTAAAATTCATTGTTTATCATATTGATCTTTAACCATTTTGACAATACAATTTGAGAAGGGGGCGCCAGAATGGAACTTTGCCTCGGCATATAATAGCTATTGGACCGGCCCTGCCCATATTAGGCAATTCAAACCACGTGACATTCAAGATGGCGTGGCGGCCACACATGGGCCAAAAAACACAAAAAAATATCTAGTTTCTGCCCGAATTAATAGTTTAGGTACCTAGTCAACAAATATTTTATTAAATAATGAAAATCAAAGTTGTAAGCAAAACTGTATGCAAAATAATTTAAAATACGCATAAAAACATATTCAAAACAAACTTGCTTGGCCGCCACGCCACATTGAATTTTCCTTTTTGACAGATGGATTGAATTGCCTAATATCCAAATAAACAAGAACAAGCAAAAAAAAAAGCAATCATGAATATTTGGTTAGACGATGGAAGCCAGGGTGTCGGTAGTGAAAGTGAAAATTACGGAAATATCCAGGAAAATATTGAAAATTATGGTGTGGCCAAAAATCTTAATGTCAATATCAGTCTTGTTGCTGGTGGTATAGCTTCTCTCGGTAAATTTTTGCATAAAAATGGCCCACATAATGAAAGAAGTAATTACCGAATTAAGTTATCAAAAAAACCTTGTTCTTTCCTTAGTAGGAAAATATTCCTAACCCATATTGATCTCTTTCTGCAGGGGGGTCTTTTTTTCTTATTTTTTAGGTGCAAAACACCCAGAACAACCGCAGACGTTCCCAGAACCACTATTTTTTTCTGATTGTCCATGTCCATATTCAAAAATTCAAAAACTTTCAGACCTACAGAAAACGCAAATAATAAACAAACCTCGGTCAACCTGAGTGAATTTTGACAATTTTGTTCTGCAATGTAAATGATAAAATATCAAACGTCAATTTTAACTTAAAGTTATAAGTGAATGTAAATGCTCCTTAAGGGATCTTAAAAAGTGTGGCCTGGGGAGCAAATATCTGTGAATGGCCTACAATTTTTTTGCGGTTTAGAGATACAGCCATGCGTTTTAAGTTCAGGTGAAAATAATTTGAAAAAAACAATTAATGAAACAAATATTTATTATTTGATTCATTTTTTGTTAGTTCCTGTGCTTAAAATAGATGATTATTTATAATATAAAAATGAATAAAATATGTATGTAGGTACTTTGTACTATAATTCACGTGGCCTAGGAGCTATCATTTTGCTTCTGAGGCTGCGTGAATTATTTATGATTCACGGCGATAACTTCAACCGTTAAGAATATTTTGGGTTTTTTTAGTCACAAAATGTGTTCTCGCACTTAACATAATCTGAAAATAAAGAAATATATTGATGGCCCCCTCGAAACGTTTTTTTTTACTCTAGTGCGGCAGTTAACGTGGTAACCAATAATTACTATAGAAATGAATTATCAATCAACCACAAAATTTGTAGTGCTGCAGATCAAAATTTAGCCCAGTCCTTTGTCAGGTTTTCTGCAACTCAGAGATATATCAGCTACAGGGGTCCAACAGTGTACAATGCCCTCCCTATTCTTATAAGAAGTGGACAATTTGAAAAAGTTAAGCATCTAGGGAACCAATGGATTATATAAAGTAATTTTTCCTTGAATTCCTAAATATTGTTCTAATTGATAACTTGCTGGTGAAACATCAGTGTACTATACAGAATTTACGTAGCCCGTGCATTAGCTTGCAGGTTGATTTAGATGCTATTTCTACTTATCTACCTGCGGACAACTTCTAATGCACGGGCTACGTAAATCACGGTGTATATTGTAATCTATGTACGTATAATAAATAAATAATACATTGTTATCTAACATGCTGATAAATAAATAAATAAATTACCTTTTGATATCCATGCACTAGCACAATTCCCAAAGTAGTAGGCTTCAATTTTCTTCCAGGGGTTACTGTGACATAATTCCTCTGGGATATATTATTAATATGTACAGGAATTGAAGCATCAGTGCCTATTCCATGCTTTTCCATAAGAGTAATCAGTTCAGCTTCTGTTAAATAATCAGGAGGAGCAGTTTGACGTTCAGTTATGCGGGCATTTTGAATAGGAACCATTTCGTTTTCAGTGAAGTTTGGTACTATTTCGTTTTTACCAAAGGCCTAATAATTGAATTTATTATTTTTCCAGTAAAAATTTTGACTTGACTTTGTTTCAAACTGTAAAAACTAAAGATGACACACAAACAATATAATGCAAGCTGGATAAAATTGACCTTGTTTCAATGCCCGCTCACCCCTATAACTATTTTACAAATAAACTAATGAAATTTGGTATGTTTATTTGTGACCCGAATTTGCATTATTTGATGTATTCAATTATGTATCATTTCCGGTTTGACCGGAAGTGAGCCTAACTTATTCAACTACATAACGAGTAAAAGGACACTTCATCTGTCACCTTTCGACATTTTATCTCCGAATTATTCAACTTTTTTTAATCTAGAGCACCATGGATTAGTTGAAATGCTTAGTTTTGCCTTTGGTTTTGCTCCAAGAAACCAGGGAAAATTTGTTATGGTCGTATTTTGTATTTTATTATCCTCTACAGACTCATTTACAAATAGTAGAAGCGCATTTTTGGAATTATATCATTTTTTTCGAATGGAAAGGGTGTGGCTCATTAGCATATTCCGAAAGAGTATTTTCTAAAGAACAATTTAGTACCACATAATCCCTACTTTGTTACTTATTATACTTAAATTAAGGAATTTGCAAGGGTTCTGAATATAGTATTCGGACTATTTCATGGTGCTCTAGATTGAAGAGTAAAAATTTGAATATTCTTGAGAAAAAATGTCGAAAAGTGACAAACGAGGTGTCATTGTATTCGTAATCTAGGGTCACTTCCGGTCGAACCGGAAGTTATAATGAATAATTGAATACACCAAATAATGCACATTCGGGTCATAAATAAGCACACCAAATTTCATTTGTTTATTCGTGAAAGTAAAAAAGTTAAAGGGTGAGCAGGTTTTGAAAAACACCCAGTATAATAGCTATACCATGCATAATAATGCAGAATACATCACAAACGATGGTGTTTTTATTAAATTTGAATTGGTATATGATATTAAACATAGTATAATCATTAATTATACTGCTTGCTCCTTGATAAATCTAAAGTGTCCTTGAGCACTAATGCACTACAAAATGATGATGTCATTGACAAAATGTAAACTACTCGGTAAAACCTTGTACTCGAAAGCGGTCCCGTCAAATAGCGACCGTCATAAGCGGTGGAAATATTTGTCATTACGTTTACGGTGACTCTCACCGCTAACTTAAAAACCACTTGCAATGAAAAGCATTAACCAATTTTTTATAATGTCATTCGTAATATTAAAGTCGCTATTTGACGATGCCGCTTTTGAGGAATTTTTTACCCCACTACAACCACCTTGTATAGGACTATACTATACTATAAGACTTCGATGACCAACCAATTTTTTAGTGTATCATCTATTTTTGTAGAATAAGTTGCAACAAATATTCAATAAAAATTCTCACCTGCCATGTCATGACACTAGTATATCCAGGGTCAATTAGAGTTTTTCCAGTAACAGAAAACATTTCCTCATTTATCACTATTTTAATAGTTGTACTCATATAACGACAATCTCTGGCCAAAGTTCCGATGAAATGCCTTGTAATGTAGTCATATAATGTCCAAGCATCCCCATCAAGTTCATATCTTGTAGCTGCTTTCATGGGGGTTATTGGGGGATGGTCACCGGCATCATGACCACCTTTGGGCCTACTAATTCCTTGAGTGATTATTTCCTTAACTTCTTTGCCCCAATCTGGACTGCCTTGTTGTTGTTTTAATGTGCCACTATATCAAATCGTACCTAAACATTAGCCTGTTATAAGTTTAAATAAGATAACTTACGCTAAATCAAAGTTTTCAGGATACCGAGTGGTTTCAGTACGAGGATAACTGATGTAGCCTTGAATGTAAAGCCTTTCTGCAATTTGCATAGCGTGATGAGGGCCCATGTTGAGACCCGAACTGGCCACTCGCATGAGTTCAACTGTGTTTAAGGCTACTGGGCGTGGTTTGGCTTTTTCTTTTGATATTACACTGACCACCCTGAATGTTTCGATAACGAATTACATTAGGCAAAAATAGTGGAATTAAAATTTCCTACCGTCCTTCTTTCTCTTGTTTGACCAACTGTAAAAACATATTAGCCACATCTCGATCGAAACTTCTTACTCTTTCCCATTCTAAAGGTACAGTAGTTCCGTCTTTAGTCATGGCCGATACTTGCAGTACCCAAAAAGTTTCGGGTTTGAAGGATTGGATTTCGTCATGCCTTTGAACACAAAATCCGAGAGTGGGCGTCTGACAAGGTCCGTAAGATATGAGAGAAGCATCCAGATCGCCGTATTTGCCTTGGAAAAATTTAGTTTGAAAGCGGGTGAAGGCGCATCCGATTCTTAGGTCGAGTTCTTGACGTGCGTCTACACTTTTCGCTTCATTTTCGTTTGGATGAGCTTAAAATTAACACATTATATTTGAATTGATGGAGCATTATAACATTACTATGATTTTTTTTTTAAATCTTTACTGCAGTGGGATTTTACCTAAATTATTGAATGCTGCCTTAATATCCTTATCAGTAATTGCTGAAAATCTTGCTCTGTAAGTAACACTGTCTGAATATACATTTGCGTTCATGCTCTTAGCCACTGAAGACATGACTTCGAAACAAATATTTTCCCCTAAAATGAATTATTGCTATAATACATTTATTGAAATAAACAACTTTTTCAATACAATTGTTATAACTTGCCTTCCTTATCGCAATCAAGCCACAAAACGAGTATATCACATCCTTTAGCTTCAGAAGCTAAAAAGGCAGGCATCCTGAGTTTGGCCATTGCCTCCTTTTTCTCTATGGGGCAAGAGAACAGTTCAACTGGATCCACTCTGTCCCAATTGTTGTATTTGCTTTCAAAATCCACTCCGAAAACGTGACCACATACTGAGGTCATTTTAAGGCGAGCTGGCTGGTTTTGAAAGGTGCCTGACCATTCGTGCACTGAACAGGCTCCATTAGAACCTAGAGAAAAGATATGCGCTATTCAAAGAGGTGTATATTCGGTAATGTAATACGCTGCTCAAAAAAAAAAAGTTGATATTTATTAAGGACTCGTTAAATTGGAAATCAAGAGGAACACAAGAACAAATCTGCAAAATGAATGTGGTATTTTCTTATCTTTCAGGACGTTAAAGATTAGATGCGGATTATTGCATTTTTTCTTTGTTGAAATAAATTTTCTCTGTGGAGTAATCGGTGGGTACTTTTTTTCGCTCATTTGTAAGTAAGCGGAGTAGTTCATTTTGTTTTCATTTTAAAGTGGTCAATACTGGGTTTATAGGCAATAATGCCTGGTTCTACCACTTCTACCACCCTATATAACTTTCTACATTATTAACGTTCATTAAGATTGAAGCGAATTTTTTTTGCAGATTTTTTCTGGATCATCTGAAATATTTGAACGCGATACGCAGGCTGATACATCTGTCCAGTCTGTCCTCTTTAGAAATATTAAAAAATAGGAAAAAAATAAACTCAAAAAAGGATTTTACTTTTGTTTGTTTTTTTCTATACTACTATCCTAAATCCAAACTACAAAAAATGATATGAATATGAAATAATTTTGTTTTGATAAAAATAAGAATGGTTAAAGAAACGATAAAAATAACAATTAAATTCTTGTTCTCGATTTTCTATGTACCAGAGTTAGCTGTTCGGCTATTATCGGATTTGCTCCGGCTGTGACGGCTAGACTCTAGTTGTTTTATTTTGTAAGGATATTTTATTTTTGTAACAAAAGTCATAATTTTTGTAATTCTTTTGCTAGAGCAGAAACCGAGGCAGAAACTTTTAATCAAATTTGAAGAAAAAAACCGAGTTTTTTCCAACCCTGTGAAGATTTATGAAGATTTAAAAGGATTTAAGGAGATATAGAAAGATTTAAAGGGATTTAAACAGATTTAACTAGATTTAAAAAGATTTGAAGGGATTGTAAAAGATTTAAGAAAATTTAAATTGATCTGACCTGATTTAAAGTGATTTGATATGATTTATGAAAAAACTAAGGTGATTTAAGGAAATTTATTTAGGGATTTAAGTGGTCCGGATCTCAGATTTTTACGGATTTAATTGATTTAAAAAGATTTGAGAGGGATTTAAAGAGATTTGATGGGATTTAAAGAGATTTGAAGGGATTTAACCTCATTTAATCTGATTTAGAGCAAAACAAGATGATTTATGTGATTTAATAAGGGATTTAAAGTGATTTAAGTCCATTTGTACACCAATTTAACAGAGTTAACCGCCCCCCGTGTTGGTGTAAACTCAGGATCAATACGATTTTTATGTTGCATATCGCGAGTTGCTAGTTGCTTTGGTGTGAATTCTTCCTTATAGTGTGGGTCGTATACAGGGTGTTTCTGAATAGTGGGATCAAACTTCTAGGATAAATAAATAGTAAAGTCTGTTTTTTTTTTAAGATAATTCCCCAAGTCAAAATTTATTGACCATGGTGGCAACACAAGTGCACAAGCCTTTTCTACATAAAAAATTTGAAAGCATTGTCAGTTTTACATTGTATTGCCAAGATAGTGTCATTTTGACTTTTACCTTTAAAAAAAAAACAGACTTTATTTATTAAAATAAAAAAAAGATACCTAATAGAAACATCGGTCCGCAAATGCTTAATTTGCGAGATACAGGGTGTGAAAGTTTGAAAAAAAAGCTCGGTTTTTTAGCTTAAAAATCCCTTTCTCAGTGAAGTGAATTTTTTTTTCTACTTTTACCAACATAGTTGCAATCTGGGGCATCACTGGAATAATGACGGTAAATCTAATGTCAAAATATAACTGCTATCAAAGCAAGTTGTAAGTGAAATTGCCAATGACAATGTTTATTTCACACGATTAATTCGGCTTAATTGTGGATTGACTTAAATAAGGATTAAAATTTAGGCCAATTCCCAAATGTTTATATTGATCCAAAAAATTGGATTAGATTTATTATTTAATCCTTATTTAAGCCAGTTATGTGAGCGTGCGTGACTAATGCACCTAGATTCAGAGAATAACAAATACGAACTGTCAAAGTATCAGCTGGTTATCGGCTGTAAGCTTGGTTTTTGAGTGTTGGAAAATGGAGAGTAAAATAATTGGTTTCCCTGTTTATTTTCATTTTCGAATATGATTCTTTGGAAAACTTTAATACAGGAAATAAACGCAAAATTTATAAATAAAACATCAAACAAAACAAACTCATATGTACGTAATCTCAAAATAATGTTCCTACATCTTTGCAGGATTGACTTAGAATTTTAAGCTGGATTAACATCTGCTTAGGGGGAGTTTATTTCCCAATTTTTAATCCGATATTTAAGTCAATCCACAATTAAGCCGGATTAGTCGTGTAAAATAAATGTAGTTAAGTAATTTAATAATTGGGTTAGAACGCAAGAAAAATAGGAAAAAACGAGTTTGGGTTAGAGATTGGATCAGGCGTAGAAGTACTTCTGGGTGCATCAGAACGACTCTTAAAGGAGATATCGATTGAAGATCCTGATTCTTAAAGGAATTTTATGGGATTATCATACCAACAATTTCAAGAACTGTCACACTAGTTGAAGTTGAACCTGAACTGACAGAGTCAGAAATGTAGATGAGAAGTCCCATTTCTCCTAAAATCAAATTGGAAGTCACATTACGATATCTTGCCACTGGTGATAGTTTAGCTTCATTGCAGTATTTATACAGAAATGTGGTTGCCTGTTTTTGTGACCTGTTTTCACACGGAAAGTACAAACAGAAATTCGGCGTACTGGCAAGTAAAGTAGCCGGTCCATGAAATTTCGGAAAGCGCTGGCCGGCAAGTAGCAAGTGCACTTTCCTGTAGTTACACACAGACACAGTTTAGTAACAACCAGTTCCGCCAGTAAACTTTCCAAGTGTAAATGTAGGCTATGGGTTATGCTGGCAAGTTCAAGTACCAGTGAGTTCAACTTAACCACTTTTTGAACTTGGAATGTAAAACCAGCAAAAAAACCAGGCTATGTGGAGAGTGAAATTATTTGTTGTGAATTTGTGTGGCACTTCTAAAAGTTATAGTATAGTTGAAGCTATCTCCCAGACCCATAGTTTCAGTTTGGTTCAAATGCACTGAACGCATATAGGGCACATCGTAATTGATGCAATACTTGATATTTGAAATACTATTTCTTCCCAGTATGTATTTGTAATAGCTCTGCTTCAGCCCTTTGTTGTGTATTGAAACACACTTACTGAGCTTTAATTCACTTTATTAGCCAACACAAAATGATTATAATTTTTGTCACTGACCGACTGCTATTAACATATATGACAATGACAATCTATAACAATTAAAATAGGTATTTTTATAAACTGGTAAAACACAACATTTCTCCCCGCGTAAGACAAAGACTCAAAGGTTCAATCTTACTGGAGGCTTAACAATTCTACCAGAACGTGTATGCACCGCAGAGGAAGCTGAAATAGAGCGTCTGGTACTCTGACCTTCTTGTGGCTCAATTGAAACTTCCCTAACACGAGGCGGTTCATTTACATAGGGATTTTGAATCTGGTCATCGGATTCTGATGTAGGCACAGATTGTGTAACAAGTTCACATATTGGTGGTCTGATGATTTCACAAGGTATTTCAGATTCCACCGAAGCGGCACTGATATTAGGTACCTGTTGCTTCTCAGATTCCTCCAAAATTGATTCACCAGCATCCGAGCGACACTTTTGGGAGCACTCTCCCCCATCACGTAAATCGCCTGAATGTACAAACTTAATATTGTTTTCACATTTGACCAAATATGTACAGTAACTAAGGACTTTCATTACTATGCCCTTTTGCCATAACTTCGTCTGTTTGTTCTTAATAAAAACCTGATCGTTGACTTTGTAAAGCGTACGCTTATCTATATTTGATGTTCTTTGATTGTTATGACAAGATGGCTTTAGCAATTCAAATCTTGTTCTTGGTTTATTTCTAAATATTCCTTCAGCAGGTGAAATGCCTGTTACAGTAGAGGGCGTGTTCCGGTATGTAAACAAGAAGTTTTGCAACTTATTTAAAATTAAATTTCTTGAAACATCTTCCCCTTTTTGAGGAAATAATGCTTTCTCTAATCCTTTCTTTACAGTCTGGACACTACGCTCTGCTGCACCATTACTCTGTGGGTGATAAGGAGGTGACTTGATGGGTTTAATTGCATTTGCCTGGCAAAATGCCACAAATTCGCTAGAATTATATGGCGGCCCATTATCGGATACAAGTTCCACTGGGAGGCCAAAGACTGCAAATATGTCTTTTAATTTTGAAATTGTTTCTAACGCATTTGTGCCATTATTCATTAGCTTGACTTCGATCCATTTTGATCTTTGATCTATTAGAATTAAAAAAACATACTTATGTTTAACAAAAAAATCAATGTACACTCTGTAAAAATTTCGAGGTGCAGATGACCATGGCATTAAGGCGGTATTAGAATTTGTGAAATTTTGGCATTGTTGGCATATATCACAACAAGATATAAATTTTTCTACATCTAAACTTATATTAGGCCACCAGCAAAAGGAACGAAGTAACATTTTTGTTCTCACAATGCCATTATGCTGTTCATGAAATAATTCTAGAACATCTTTTTGTAAAGTCTTGGGTACAATTACTTTATTCCCCCACATTATACAATGATGTTCTATAGACAGTTCATTGCGCTTTTTAAAGTAAGGCTTTAAATTTTCGTCTGATACAAAATCAGGCCATCCTGATAGAATAAAATCCTTTACTTTAAGAAGCAACAAGTCTTTAGCTACTTCGTTGGCAATATCGCAACAGTTTAATGGCATCTGATTCACCAAGTTAAAAGAATACAGAAAATCGGGAACTTCGGTTCCTTTATTGCAAGGCAGACGGGACAAACCATCTGCATTGGAAATAGAAGTACCTTTTTTATATTTAATGTCATATTCATACCCTGATAGCGTGACAGCCCAACGGGTGA